AGGGAAAGAAAAGGCCCCGCTGAAGAAATAATCTGTGCTTTGTTCCCCGGAGCCCTCAACTGCGGGAACCCGCTGTGGTGCCTCATCTCATTTTGGAGGAAGGGAAGTCAGCCAGGAGAGAGGTGGGCAGCAGGAATGTGGGGGATGGAGCAGGAGTCACAGAGCACATTCAGCAGCCCTTGGGGACAGCCGGCTGCCCAGGCCAGGCCTCCTCAGCCCCTCTGCAAAGGCCCATGATGTCCATTCTATTAGCTGCCCACACTGTCCTGGAGATCAAAACCCAGCGCTGTTGGGACACCTGGAGCCTCACTCCTTTCCATGCCAGCGTGCTCAGTGATTGCTGACCACTGAGATGTGAGGTCCTGCCCTAGTGGATTTGGCCAAGGGCAGGCATTTCCTCACTGCCCCCACCCTGCAAGCCTCTGGCTCAGGACTCCTGCAGAAGCAAGTCCTGCTCTTGGGTGGGGGCGGGGGTCCTTCCTCCTCCCTTGCCCCCAAGCTGGGTGTCTGAGCTGCTCACGCTTACCAGACAGTCCAGTGAAAGCCTGGCTGAGCCCCAGCCCTGGCCCCAACATGGCCCAACCTCCCGGCCTTGGGGGAGCACCCCACACAGCAGTGCCCTGTGCCACCACCTGTCTGCTCCTAGACCCCTGCACCTCCCGCCCTCGGCTCAGGACACCGGCCTTCCAAGGCTTCCGGTCTTCAGGCCAGTTACCAGGTAACCGGAAACATCTGCAGTACAGCAGGCCCTGGGGGGAGGGGGCACTGCTATAAGTGGGGTGCTGGGAGAACAAAAGGGTGTCTGTTCCCAAAGGCCAGGCTAGGGGCAGCTGTGTGCCTTCAGTTAAACAAGGAGAAATCACATACCCTGTCCTTAGCAACCCAGGCTGGGGACGCAGGTCCACTCCTCCCTCTATGCTTTTAGACGCCATGTTTTTCTTATCATGTGGCACTTTATGAGCTTTCTAAAGGTAATTAACTCTGTGCCTTTTTTGCCTCCTATGCTGTAAACATTAGAGTGTCCCCGGTTGTAAATACCTGAAAACTTGCTTCAACCACACTTAGACAAAGGTAGCTACTGTCCACCTATCTTGGAAGTCCGGCAGCAGTGCAGGTATAGTTTGGCCAAGGGTTCACACTGTCACTGTGACTCAATTTCTGAACTCTTCTCTTATCCCTCCCTGCTCTGTGTGTCAGTGCCTATGCCCCAGCCTCACAAAGTGGCTGCCAACAGTCCCAGGACTGGACATCCAAGCCCAGAGAAGAGTTCAGCTTGGTTCCTACATCCCAAGCTGAAGTCCTGACAGTCACTCTGAGGGGGGTGACTTGGTGACCTGTTATAGCTGGGAGATAAAACTGACCTAACCTGTGTGCTTCATCCCTGGAAATAGACTTCCCAAGTCCCTAAATAGACCCAAACCGGAAGTGAACAGGAGCTTGAGGCCAAAGCTGGGCCACTCCATGGAGCCTGCGTGTGGACAAGACTCTCCTGCCAGGCACTGAATTTCAGGGCTTCTCCTAGGCCCAAGGCAAAGCCAGGGCTCTCAGGGCCCCGGCTGCTGCAGGCTGCCTCGGAAGAGGCGAGTGGATGCTCCTGTACTGTGCGCCTTCAACTTTGCCTTCTGCCAGTGCAGCAGGGAGGACCAGACGGCTCCGGTCCGGGGAAGTCACAGTGCAACACTGCCACTGGACAGCAGGGATTTCGCAGTTCTAGATAGCAACATCTGGGCCAATCGGCGAGGGCTTCCTGGGGTGGTGGGTTGTGGGGCTGTGAGGGGCGTAGGCCAGGCAACAAGCTGCGGAGAAGAGACCAGAGGATTCCACTCCTCTTAGGTTCTTATCTGAGCAAAGCGATGGCCAGCATTTCAGATGCAGGCCCCAGGCACACTCTGGTGTTACTCCCGTGCAAGCCTACGGCGGGTGGGGTGCCGGGCACCTCCCTTCTGACAGCAATTTCAGAGGTTCGAGCACTGAATGGTCTTGAAGGATGAAGCTGAGGGTCAGCAGAAGTCGGGGTGAGCCCGGCAGGGATGTGGGGAGAAGACAGCAGGTGGAGTCGGGCACCCCTGGCCGTGAACTGCTGCAGCCCAGAGCCTGGCACTGGTGGGGCAGGTCCAGGGCTTCCTCTGGTGCCTGCTTCCTCCGTCAACCTTGTCCTCCTCCTCCTCCTTCTCCTCAGCAAGGCCCTGCTTGGAGGGCAGCTGCCAGGCAAGGGGTCCTACGGTGGTAGCCAGTGTGCCCTTCTCCCTGCGCCCTAAAGGAAGGCTTGGGGAGCCCACACCAGTGCCTCGTGTGCGCAAGGGGCAGGTGACTGCCAAGACCCCTGGGGTTGGCCCTGCTGTCTGGTGTGGGGTGAGGGGCTACCAGGCCTGACCCCGCAAATGGCTGCATAGCACCAAGGCCACAGTGGGTGGCAGGGGCTGCCAGCCCCCAGGAGCAATCCGGCTCCTGTCATGGTGACGTGAGTGTTTTCCTTGCCCAGCGGCAGTTAGCCCTCAATGTCAGACGAATCATGCTCCAAACCTCAGGCCTGGCAGGCACACGTAATGCCCAGCCTCGATCCCGGGGAGGGGGCTGAGCAGCCTCCCCTCCTGGCAAGGAGATGTGCTGCAAGAATGAGAGGCTTCTCCAGGAAGCCCTGGTGGGTGTGGGTGGCCAAAGGATTGTAATCCCATTTCACAGTCAAGAAAGCCAAGATCTGCAAAGTTAACTGACCCACGAGGAAACCAAGCCCAGAGCTGTGTGTCTGTCATCCCAGCACCTGGGAGGCTGAGGCAGGAGGATCACTGTGAATTCAAGGCCTGCCTGAACAAAGCCACCCCCACCCAGCTGTGTACCCGGGAGAGGACATCTCTCAGGATGACTTGGTCACCTGTTAGGTGGGCCTTGAAAACCAGAGTGATGATCGGAGAAGCACGCTTGAAGACAGAGCTCTCCGGCAAGTCTTTCCATCTCTCCCTTCTTTCTGGAAAGAACAGGGCAGCCTGACCACACAGGCACTCCCAGAATTAAGTAGCCAAAAAGCATGTTGTCTAGACAAACACGTTTTATGGGGCTAATTAATTCCTGCCAGTCAAAAATAGCTGCGCTTCATAGGAGCCTGTATTTAGCATCTGTCATCATCCGACTCCCGGGCGCACAAACCCCAGCTCAGACTTCACGGTCTCTGCATCTCACATGGAACCCTGCAGACCCCTGCTTGGGCCCTGGCTTTTTTGGGCGGAGTAGGGGTACCAAAGGCAGGGTGAGGAGCCTGTGGCTGACAGAAGCCACCAAGTCCCCGTGGCCACAGGCAGGCTCCTCCCCACACCATAAGTGAGAAAGCAGGTGGAGCCTCTTCTTTGGGCAGCAAGGCCAGGCTGTGGAAGAGCAGGTTGGACCGGCTCCCTGATGCCTCATCTGTCCCTCTGACCCCAATCATCTCTCCTGGACCCCTCTGATCTGGAAATCTCTAGGTCTGTTGTGAGCTGTAGGCCCCCATTACAGCCCTGCTGTCCCTGAAAAGGGATACTGGTGGGTTTTGTTTGTTTGTTGGAGACAGGGTTTCACTATGTAACCCAGGCTAGCACTGAACCCATGGCGATCCTTCTACCCCAGCCTCCTGAGTGCCAGGGTGACAGGCGTGCACCACCGCACCTGATGGGGACACTGATCTTGAGTCACTATTCTTGGTCCTTGGGCCTGAGCAAGAGCCAGATGGGCCCAGGGCCCTGAGAGCTCCAGACACAGCGAGTGCCACTATGCTGCCAGTGGGCGGGCAGGCTCCTGTGGGCCACCTGTGAGGTGCTGTGCCCACTGGAGACACTTGTGGGGGGCCTATAGGAGTTCAGGGGGTGCTCTCAGGACCTTTAGGCTGGAGCCAAACTCCTCCACTGCCAGGGAGCTGAGCCCAAGCCACACCAAGGTCCTCAGCTTCTCCTCCTCAATGACTAGTAGGGCTGAGCCTGTTGGGAGGAAAAGAGTCAGGCTAGAAATCCGAGGCATCCTGGGAAGATCCAGCCACTATGTACCTGTTCTCTCTCTATTACAGTCAGACATCAGTTCTCTAATTGCCATCAAAGTCCTCTTCTGCTTTTGAAGACACTTATCCCATCATTCCTGCTGCTTTCTGGAGCAGGTCTGAAAGTCCTCTTTCATAAGTGTCCTTAGTGGCTGTCATGGCTGCCGCACTGTCCGGAGCTAATTCCAGATGCTGAGGTTTCATGGTCATTTTGCCATTGGGCTGGAGCCAGAAGTTGCACAGTGCCGGGGCCAGTGAATAGGATGGGAGGGGACACACTGGGATGGTTCCTACTAGCCGGCCTTTCTGGATGGCATTTGGAAGCAGCATTCACTGTATTTTTTTTCTCATATTTCATAAAGACATTGGTGAAAGAGCATCCCAGAACTTCTGCGGAAGGTGATGGGAACAATGGGATGTGTTCGTTTGTGGGGGTTGGAGGGTTGTGTCAATATGTCTTTTACTATAATAAAGTTTTTAAATAATTTTTTTAGGGCCGGAGAGATAGCTCAGTAGAATAAGTGTTTGCCTGGCAAGCATAGGGTCCTGAGTTCAATCCTCAGTACCACAAAAAATTAATAATTTTTTTAATCTTGTATTTGTTTATTCATTTGGTACAGGGTCTCACTACACAGCTTGGACTCATAGTGATCCTCCTGTCTCAGCCTCCCCAGTGCTGGGATTACAGGCATGTGCCACCACATCCAGTCTGGGTGGCCTGCAAGACATGTAGCCAGCATGGCATATGGTACCGGGGATTGAACTCGAGTACTTGCACTTGCCAGGCAGGTCTTTCTTAGACTATCTCCCCAGCTCTGTAATAAGGTTTTTATTGAAACACTCTATTTTGACCATCTTTTAGAGGCATACACGTAGACGGGGCGCGGGCCTGTCTCCTGGCTGCTGCTCCACCTCCCCCAGGTCTGTGCCGGGCCCCAGGCACCCTCTACCAGGAAGGACTGCATCCCCCAGCACCTGTACTGTCTTCTCTTCCTCGCAGGCTGGTGGTGGGTGCCCCACTGGAAACCAACGGCCACCAGAAGACGGGAGACATTTACAAGTGTCCTGTGATCCAGGGCAACTGCACGAAGCTCAACCTAGGTAAGTGGCCCCCGGTCTCACGCCTCTCCAGAGCAGAGCGGGTCCTGTGCTTGTCCCTACCCAGGGGCCCTGGCATCTCCTTGCAGCTACACAGGGTGACTGGGGTGGTGTCACCACTGCCCCATTTTAAAGATGAGAAAGCTGAGGCCAGCCAAGGGAGCAGCTTGTGCATGTTTGCACAACTTGCCAGGGAGCAGTCAGGCTTCAAAGCCAGGCCTCCAGTGTCCCCATCTCGACCCTTCCTGCTCCCCAATCCCCCCCCCCCATTAAATTTGGGAGCAGAATCTCCTCCAGCCTTCTGTTGTGAAATCCTAATGGCCACATCCTCACCTTGTACATGGTGCTCACCACGTGCCCGGCGCTGGCGGAAGGATATTTAAAGCGCGCTCACTCGTTGGATCTCCAGCACTGTGAGGCTGGGGGAAGAGGGTCACAGCGAGTTTAAGGCCGGCCTGGGCCTTCCCGGGGAGGGAAGTGGGCCAAGGATGGTATGGCACAGGCTGAAGAGAAGGGCAGAGGACCCAGGGCTGGAGCTATAGAGCCCAGAGGGCGCAGCCGCCCTGCGCCGCAGGCTGGGGGTCACAGGCGGGTCATTTCTCCGGCTGTGGGGCCCAAGCTCCTCCGGGCAGACAGGGCAGACTGCGCAGAGCGGAGCAGAACAGGGTCCTGGCTGGCGGCCTCATGCGCTGTTAGCCCGGCCCTGTGGCCCGGTGGTCTCTTTGCAGTGTGTACCTGGGCCACTCGCCCTCTCTGGGCTTCACCTTGCACCTTGCGTGTGTGTGAAGGGAGGTCTTCATCTCTGTCCCCAAGCACTGTATTTATGCCGATACAGAGGGAGCGAGAGGCCACGGCTGTGCCAGGAGGGGACAGTAGTGAGGAGACAAATAACAAACAGGCTCACTGGAGGTGCAGATAAATGCTGAGCTGGAAGCCAGGCAGCTGGGGTGGAAGCGGGGCTGGGTTGTCCCCTGGCCAGGTAGCCTTGTAAAGAGCAACTGGGCAGGGAGAATCAACAAAGGCCTGCTGGGGAGGGGACAAGTGGGGGCAGGACACGTGCAAAGACTCTAAGCTGGGACCAAGTTTGCTCTGTTGGGACACTTGGAGAAGGGTGCTGTGGTTGGGGTAGGAGCGCCGGGGGGCAGGCCCTGTGCCCAGGGCTCAGCCACTCCCAGAGTGGCATGGACACAGAAAGAAACTTTTAGTCCCCTCTGTTGTCTCAATTCCAGAGGGAAGGAGCCATAAAACTCAAGACATCCTTTGCAGGCTAGGGCAGAGAGCTGGGAGGCAGTGGGAAACCAGATGAGCTGGCACAGAGGAAACGTAGTGGCTGGAGGCCTGGCTCTCTTCCCTCCACCAGTTTATCCCTGCAGTAGAGAGCCAGGGCTGGGAAACCCGAGGCTGGGTGTTCCAGAACAGCTAAGAGGCAGTCTGTCATTCACACCTTAGTATGAGAGAGTCTACCATGGTGGCTTTCTTCCCACCTGGGATGGAGTCAGGGGTCTGAGCGAGGGCAGGGGCCAGGGGAGGCGAGTAATGCCGTAGAAACGCAGGCTGCTCTGCCTGGCCTGTCGGAGCACAGTGAACAGCGCCTGCCGCTCAGCCCAGCTGCAGGGGCTACACCCGACTCTAGAGGAGTGGTGCTGAACACCGGGGGAACCCAAGAGAAACAGCAAAGGGCCCCGGCCTGCCTCAGGATGGCCCTGGAATGGCAGCCCTCGGTACTGTTCCCCAGGCCCCCACGTCCCACACTTCACCCATAAACTAGAGTGCAAATTATTTGGGGTCAAGACATCCACAGTCCTGAACAGGGAAGTCATGGTACATGTGCATGTGCACACACACACACACACACACACACACACACACACACAGAGTGTGCATACACGCTCACAAATGTACAACACTCCTGGTGAATCTAGCCCTGCCCCTTCCTTTTAATGACCTGTCTGAGTGACCCTGGAAGCCTCCGCTGAGCTCACTCCTGTGGTTCCAACCAGCCCCCACCCTCACCCCACCAGCTGCTGTCCCTGCTCCCGAATGTCCCTCTTGGCAGCCACATCACTTCTGAGCAGGGCTTTGTCCCCATAGAAGACGCTTGACAAGTTGTCTGCTCAATACCTGGGACAGAGAATCCCTCAGGTATTGGCCATTTTTCCAGTGACCAGAGAGAAAAGGACCAGGAGGAGTAGGAGCCAGGCCTGGCAACACACACCTCAGCCTGGGAGGCTGAGGCAGGAGAATCGCAACATTGAGCCTGGCCTAGGCAAGTTAGCAAGACCCTATCCCAAAGGAAAAAAAACAAAAGAGGGCTGAAAGTAGCTCCGTGCAGAGGCCCTGGGTTGCATCTGGACCCCACAAACACCACCACCAAGAAACCACAGAAGACCCAGGGTCTGTGAGAGCTGATGGGCCGCTGGCCTTGAGGGAAGTCTGGAGACAACACACAGCAGTGGGTGCCATGTTGGGGGTGTTGGGGTACAGCCCAGTAGCTGGTGAGGAAAAGCTGGGTCCCGGGAAGAAACCTAGCAGCCAGCTGCCTGTGCCATCCCGTGCAGCTGCCTGGCCTCTCTGAGCCTTCCTGTCACCCTCTGCAACCCATGAGGATGCAGCTGTGTCCCAGGACACCTGCAGGATGTTCAGGGGCCCAGGTCCCTCGGGCGTCGGCCACAGCAGGGCGCAGCAGAAGGCAGGTGGGGATGCATGTGACCTCTCCCTTCCACCCCAGGAAGGGTCACGCTGTCCAATGTGTCTGAGCGCAAGGACAACATGCGCCTGGGCCTGAGCCTCGCCACCAACCCCAAGGACAACAGCTTTCTGGTAAGAGCCTGCACCCCATGCACCCCTTTGCCCCCTTTTCTGTCAGGAACATGCAGGGCGCAGCAGGGAAGACAGAGGAGGGAGTGTTGGGGCGGAGGCACTGGAAACGTCCATTCATTCATTCAGCCATCGCTGGAGCTCCAGCCCCGCTCTGCTTGGTGGAGGGAGGGGAAGAGATGTATGTGATGCAGGGGTCAGTGCCAGGGGGCTCCTGTGCCCTGGCCTGTTGGGACACAGGCTCTGCACAGGGAGGGATGGCAGGGGGTATGATGGACTGGTGTGTCCTGTGCCCATCCATCTGGCCACAGTGATCACTGCCTGTGAGATGGGCAATGTTCTGGATTCAGAGCTGGGGGCTGGTGGTTCCTAGAGCCAGGTGCAAGGAGGGTTCAGAGAAAAAGTCTCCAGAAAGCTCAGTGGATAATACCGTCCGAGCCTGGCATGGTGGTGCAGGCCTGCAGTCCCAGCACCCTGGGAGGCTGAGGCAGGAGGACCATTAAGTCCAAGCCCAGCCCAGGCAACTTAACACCTTAGTGAGACCCTTTCTCACAATTTAAAAAATAACAAAGGGCTCAGTGTGAAGGCCCTGAGCCCCAGTCCCAGTACAGCAAAGAACAGGAAAAGCCCATTGCCTCCATAGGGAGGGCTGGGGCGAGTCTGCCCTCTTGCCTGTGGGCCAGTTTCTGTGGCAGATGTGGCATCCAGGGTGTGGTGCACTGAAGGCCACAGCCACAAGGTGAATAATGCCGTGGAGCTTGAGAACTCGGTGGCCCCTCAGAGGCTGTTTGTCACTGTCCTGCTAACTTGCTGTCATCTCCTTCACAGGTGGCTCCAGGGTTTGTGAGGGGCCTCTCTGGGTTGTCTCTGATTATAAATAGCAACTTTCTGTTAAGTCATTTATTCATTTACTCATCAGTTCCATCCCCTCTACCACTCATCCATCCCTCTATTCATTCACCCATCCACCCACCTACCCATGCATCGAGCCACCCACTCATCTTCCCACTTCCATCTCTCTTTCCCCCATTGCTTCCTGTATCTACCCATCACCACCTGTCCATCCCCCATCACCACCTGTCCATCCCCTATCACCACCTGTCCATCTCCCACCACCCACCTGTCCATCCCCTACCACCCCCCTGTCCATCCCCCATCACCGCTTGTCCATCCCCCATCACCCACCTGTCCATCCCCCATTGCCCACCTGTCCATCCCCCATCTCCCACCTGTCCATCCCCCATCACCACCTGTCCATCCCCCATCACCACCTGTCCATCTCCTACCACCCACCTGTCCATCCCCTACCACCCCCCTGTCCATCCCCCGTCCCCTACCTGTCCATCTCCCATCACCCACCTGTCCATCCCCCATTGCCCACCTGTCCATGCACTATCACCACTTGTCCATCTACCCATCACCAGAGAGAGAGAGAGAGAGAGAAAGAGAGAGAGAGAGAGAGAGAGAGAGAGAGGAAAGAGCTAGCTAGCTAGCTAATAAAGGAAAGTTTTGGGAAAATAGTTACTCCCCTAAACCACAGGTAATTATAGCATAAGGTCTAGCCTGGGGGTTCTGATAGCATGGAGCTGGACTTTTTCTTCCAAGTCTCCTGCTCTGGAGAGAAACCATCACCCGGACCTTCAGCGAGGGCCAGATGACAGCCACCTTGGCGGCTAACACTACAGACATTCTCTTTCTCTCTGCCCTCATGTTGTTGGGACAATGTCAGGGAAGCCTGCCCAGCAATGACCTCCAGGTGACCTCTGCAGACCTAGTTAGTGACCCGGGAGGGCTGTCCCACCTCCTGTGGGGCAGTAAGGTAGGCAGGTGAGCAGGAAGTAATCTGCCCTGGTTGTGCATGTGGGGCTGGGTCCCCGCCACGGTGCCTGCGCCCCCTGAGCCTCGCCCCTGCCCACTGCTGTGCCCCACAGGCCTGCAGCCCACTCTGGTCTCACGAGTGCGGCAGCTCCTACTACACCACGGGGATGTGCTCCAGAGTCAACGCCAACTTCCGGTTCTCCAAGACCGTGGCCCCAGCCCTGCAGAGTAAGTGGCTTCCGACCTGCAGGCCCAGGGTAGGTGGGGCCAGTCCAGAGGCGATGTCCAGGCAGCTCTGCCCCAGCCCTCTGGGTAAGCAGGGGGTGTCACTGCACCTGGCCGGACCTCCCCCAGTGGGCCTAAGCTGTCAGGACTGCACCGGCCTTAGTAATCCTCGTCCCTATCTAGTGCTTGTGGGCCTCAGGGAGCTCAGCCCAGCTAGCCCAGTGGCTAATGGATCACGACCCCCACTGCCCCCAAGAAAACCTGGGGAGCTAGCATCAGGCTTCGACTCCTCCCTGTGTTCTCCGTCTCTGGGTCCCATGCTCATTTGCAAAGAATGTATCTCCCTGTTTCCTTTTACTTTGTGTTTTGTTCATGTGTGGGGTTTCTCCTTACATCAGTCAGAAGAACTGACTAGAGGAACAGATATAATACAGGAAACAGACATAACACAAGATGCACAAATGTAAAAGAAATTACAAGACTGGCTTACAACAGCAGCCCCAGAGTCGGATGAGGAAGCGTGCAGAGGGCGTCTGCACACCCGAGACTGAAGGATTCGGTCCGAGGGCTGGAGCTCACTGCTGTGCTCCGTGCAAGTCCGTATCACGGAGGAAGCTGATGGGACCACGGTGAGAGGGTCAGAAGGCTGGTGAGTCTGCGAGGAAGGCTGAAGGGGTCTGAAAGAAAAGCTGAAGGAGCCAAGGCAGAGGCCGAAGAGCCTGTGCTGGAGGCCAGGCGACATCGAGCTGACTGCAAAGACTGAAGCTCCTCCGGGGAAGTGGGACGAACCATCCTTCCTCAATCCCTTCATGTGTCCTCTAAGGGCGGAGTCGCTCTAGGGCAGGCCCTCCATGCCCTAGGGAGGGACCCCCACGCCCCAGGGCACAGAATGGCAGAGCAGATCCAGCCAAACTTTAAAGTTCCCAAGTTGACACAATGTATCAACCACTACACTCCTGTAGGAGAAACAGTGTGATATTGAAGCGATTTATTTCACTGAACATTATACTCTCGTGGTACACATCCATTTTCCTACCAGTGACTCACACTGTCCTTCTTTATGGCAGAGTAGTACTCCACTGGGTATAGATGCGACATTTTCTCTGTTCATCATGTCTGTTTATGGACATAGAGGCCACTTCTAATACTTAACTATTACAAGTTGTGCAGCTATAGACACAAGTATGCATGGGTGTCTGTCATAGGATGTCTTTAACTCAGGCAGATGCCCCAAAGGGGAATAGCTGGGTCCAAAGTAATTTCTGCCCTCTGGTGTTTAGAGGACTCCGTATACTCAGCTGTATCTCACAAACCACAGGCCCAAAGGCAGATCTTTCCCAAGGGGTCTCTTTTTAAAAACTGAAATTTCAAAACTAAAATTATAAGAAAGAAATCAGTGATAATGAATTCATTATACTAAAACTGGTTGCAAATATAAAAGAATCCAAGACCCCACGCACGGGCCCAAGGAGTTGGTCTCGCTCTACTCTGTGGCCGTCTGTACCCAGCAGGGCTTTGGAACCGGCAAAGGTCACATCTGTGAGGCTCGGCCAGGCACCCACACGCTGTACCCAGCCTGCAGGTAGCAAGGACGGGGCATCCAGGTGACGCACATGCACCCCCGATGTCCCCACAGAACACCGCGCCCCTCAGGCCCCAGTGTTCCAGGCCACTGTCCCACTCAGCCCGGCAGCCAGGAGCCAGGCAATAGGGACTTTCACACACTGGGACAGCAGCAGTGGCCAGTCCCGGCAGTGGTGTAAGGAAGGCCAGGCTGCCGGCAACGATGGATTCGATTTTTAAGAGGTTTTTCGTTTTCAATTTCTTGTGGTGGCCGGGTTCCCTTCATTTTCCTTGCTGATTTTTAGGGCTCCTTTTCGTTTAATATGAATATTACAGGAATGTAAAGAAAGTTTTACCATCAGAGGTGGAGACCAAGACCCAGAGCATGGTCACGTGATGGCACAGCTGGGTTAGCTCAGGGCTTGCTTACAGGGAAAAAAAAAAAAGGAAAAGTAGCCCCAGCTGAGACTCGGCGGGTACTTGCTTTGTGCGGCGGCCTGTAGAATCACGTTCTTCTTAGCTCCTCCTACGACAGAGAAAACTCACTTGAGTCAATGTCCACCCCGAGGATGACTCCCAGCCGCACGCACACATGCACACGTGCACAGTTATTCCTCTATCAGACTTTTTTTATTTTATTTTATTTTATTTTATTTTATTTTATTTTGGGGAGGGGCAGCCTCAACATGCTTTCACGGCATCTCTGGTTTGGCGTGAGTATCTGGGTTCAAACCACAGCATCCTGAGCCTGACTGCTTTGTTTAAGCAGGCACTCAAACAGCTGAGCTGATGGGCAGGCCCCCTCTATCAGCCTTTGAAAATGACACCAAGTCAGAGACTGGCAGGCACTGGCTCATGGCTGGCCGCGATCGTGTCCCTCCTTCCAGGGTGCCAGACCTACATGGACATCATCATCGTCCTGGACGGCTCCAACAGCATCTACCCCTGGGTGGAGGTCCAGCACTTCCTCATCAACATCCTGAAGAAGTTTTACATCGGCCCAGGGCAGATCCAGGTGAGTGATCAGAGGTGGGCGCTGCTCCTCCAAAAAGAGCCCCTGACCGTGGCCCTGGCTCTGTCTGGGTGTCGGGAGGCACTGTGGCATGCCTAAGGGCAGGCAGGTGAAAGGCTGAGGCCCCAGGCACCCATCCCTGGGAGAGGGGGACAGTGGGGGGGCAGGGGGAGGCCTCATTTCCCAGCTTAGCCACTTTACAATGTGAGGTCATTCTGAGAAATGACTTCTAACAAGTAGTGCTCTGAAAAAAGGGAGTGGAGTTTCTCATGAAGTGCTGAGCCCACCCCCCAGTCCATCTTTTAGGGTGTCGGGGATGACCACCCACTCCACAGGCCTGCTCAATAGTAGCATTTTGTTGTTGGATCCTTACCACAGGTCATTAAGGTTTTTTGTGTATTAAGAAAACTATTAGTATTGTTACCGCATCAACCTTGGGGATAGGAGAACCTCTGCCCCAAGACCCCACATCACGCCTCATATTTTGAGCTTCTGTGCTGTAATCAGCAAGACCCATGATCTATGGGGCCTTCCCCTAAATCCCAAAGTCGCCTTTCACTGTGTGCACCCCACCCCCTTACCACAGGGCCATCTGTTTCTTCTAGAACTTTCTAGAACCTTCTTTGTTGGGTTCTAGTTCCTTCTTGGGAAAGATGACTCTTTACTCCTGCACGGCCACAGCCAAAGGGCTAAGGTTCAGGAAGGAGAATGTTCTTTTCCCTTCTCCTCTGCCTTTCAGGTTGGAGTTGTCCAGTATGGAGAAGATGTGGTCCATGAATTCCACCTCAATGACTACAGATCTGTCAAGGATGTGGTGGAGGCTGCCAGTCACATAGAGCAGAGAGGAGGGACAGAGACCCGGACGGCGTTCGGCATTGAGTTTGCTCGGTAAAGAAAAAGAGATCCCAAATACTGTTTTAGTTCCTATTGATATGTAAATTTAGTGCCTTGAAACAATGTTTTATTAATTCTTTAAAGCTATAGGGTTCAACCGCCCCAGCTATCAGGCCTCTCTTAAGTTCTGTCCTGTGGTATCAGTCTGGGTCACCTGAAGCTGGTGTCACTTGAAGGCTCTGCTGGGCTGGACATCAAAGATGCCACACTCATATGACAGCCGCTGTTGCTAGTTGCTAAGGGAGTGCCCTGTGGACCTGGGCACCTGAGCACCCCCATGTGGTCATGTGGCCTGTTTTGCTCATGTCCTGATGCCTGAAGGGGACTGCCCCAAGAGCAAGGTCCCCCAGAAACCCAGGGAGGAGCTGGGAGGCTGCCTATGCCCTAGCCTAGAAGTCCCAGCCTGTGACTTCTGCCACATCCTATTGGTGGAGCAAGTTATGAAGGCCAAGCCAGCCCTGAGGGAAAGAGAACATGTGCCTTTTGATGGCAGGATGACAAGGTCCCCTTGTCCAAGGGAATTGGGAAGATACTATTCCAGCCCACGTTGGAAAACACATTCTGCCACCAATGCACTGTACAAGTGTAGGCGTCGTAAAGGGAGAGCCGGTCTGTGGAAGAAACAGTGAACCTGAACGCCTGAAACTGTGGAGTGAGGAGACAGGTTCCTGGGAGTTCACATGAATTCCCACCGGAAGTCACGCAGGTGAGCGCCCCCTCTGGGTGCTGTCCCTCGGGCTTGATCCTGTCACACTGTCATTGGGTACAGCACTCGCCTGACTCCGGAGAAATTAGCGAACCTCAAAGGAAATTCCTCAAATCTCTTCAGCCAAGACCCAGACTCTTGAGTCACCTGTGCCTCTGCCTCGGCCTTTTAGCTGTTAAACATCTCAGCTTGACACGCAGGCGTGCGAGCTCTTCGGGAGACCACAGCACCATCCCTTATCCTCCCACCTGGCTCAGGGTTAGTCGATCTGGTCCACAAAATCCCACCCACAGCGTAAGAGCAACTTAACTCTACCATGATTTCATGTGGTTGAAAGATTAAGGACTTTCCAACCCCACAGCTCTCTGATTAAGTCACTGCCAGCTAGTATACTTCTGTTTGCTGATAAAACTCCCCAGAGCTTTGCCTGGGGGAGCACACCTTCCTCTGTGGGAGGACGGCTGTGTGGCTTGTCTCAGAGGAATGGGCCGTTCTGCTGTGAGGCCATCACGGAGTTTATACCTGAGACTCCTGCCAGCCCTTGTGAAGTGATTAAGCAACAAAAGGATCTGGTCACCACCTCTGTCACTTTCCCAGAGGGAAGCACGCTGACTCATATGGGGATGAAGCCCTCTATTTTGGTTTCATTTTGCAGCCCACCAGCCTCGGGTTGATTCCACTCGTGTGACTCACCCTATAGTGTAAACCATCCCTGACTCATGCACACTGCTGGGGTTGCAGGTAGAGTTTGAAATCCTGGCCTTCTGCCTTCACATCCCATAACTGACTTTTTTTTTTTTTTTTAATCCTGAGCATTGAACCCAGGGCCTCTCTCTAAATTACTAGGTTGCCTAAACTGGCCTTGAACTTTCGATCCTCCTGCCTCAGCCTCCCAGAATGCTGGGATTACAGGCTTGTGCCACTACTCCTAGCTCTGCTGGTGCCTTTTCAGGTGAAAAGTTTTCTCTCTTCTCTTCTTAGTCAGGATGGGTTTTATTCTGTTTTCTGTGTACTGATAATGGGCAAAGATCCAGGCCACACGCTTGGATGGCTATAAGCATGGTGTCCTGCGACCTTGGCTTTGGCTGTCCTCAGCCCGACAGAGGAGCACTAAGGGCTGTTAACCCTGCTAACTCAGTGGGATTGGAGAAGAATATGCCCACGGGGCTGGGCTTCCCCTGGGACACATGGAGGCCATGCAGGGGCCAAGCAGCTTGGACATGACAGTGACTCGTGCTCCGTGTCCTTGGCTCACTCTGGTTCCAGGCGTGACGAGATACGCTGTGGCCGTGAGTCCTGCCCCCTGTGCGCACGCCCTGCAGCTGCTGGCTGCCCCTAGAGGCTCGCGTGGCAGCCCTGGAG